AAAAAATATAGAGTCCAGATTAAAAGAAGCAAATGAACAGTAAATGGGATAAAATTTTGATTCTATCTGGCAAGAATCAATACACTGGGGAATATAGGAGATCCCTTATAGCCCAAAAAGCTCACTTAGCTATAGCTATATCGCGAAATTGAGTATTTCAGAACGAGTACGAAACAATTTTTATCGGGTTTCCCCCTGAGCTGAGCAAATAAAGAAAAAAAATTGATCCAATAAAAGCTTTAACCTTGTCAAAACTATAATAATTGGAAAATAGGTTCGGATTTTTGATTTATCTAATAACTAGATAAATATCAGTTTATTATTTTACTAATGTTATTCCATATTATGTATATGTTTTATGCAATGAAACTCTCTCTGAACACATTTTGATGTATTCAATGAAAAATGCACGCTTGCATTTTATATATCATTGTCACCGTAAAAGGCATCTTATGCATTTGCTGACGCTTTAAACGTATAGAAACTTCTTGAGGATCTGCTATCATTTTTTTAAAGTAGGTATAACTGAAGTTATTAAGGTGGATTTCTTTTCTCTGTAAAACTACTACTACCTAGGATGGATGTATGTTTCATATTTGTTTAAATTTCGAAAACGAATGAAAATTTTAATTAATTGGTAACCACACAAGTAGTATTAATAGTAGGGATATGTAAGATATTCTTATAAAATCTCATCGTAAATATAATTTTTGTTTGGCATAGATGAATAGAAATAGCACACTTCTTCGCCTTGTCATTGAACAATCCAAACGGCTATGACAAATTGAGGAGCTATAATAGTCGACAAAACAAAAAACTGCTTTAGGTTTTATAGTCCTTGAGAAAAAAATCATGTTCTTATAACGTACTTATTTTGGCAATTGCCTAATTATACTGCTACGGCTAGTCAGCTTCAGTTCGGAGGCCATGGGTCTATGGGTTCCTTGTATACATCTTACCTTTGGGCGCCACCAAGTTAATTGTGACTTAACTAGGAAGATAACCTAATGATGTTTAAACAAAACCTGTGCAATTGGAGAGCTTATCAATAAAACAACTAATTAGGTACAATAATGTATCTGGCTTCTTTATTAAAAAAATAATAACAATAATGAATAGGGATAGCCAGGACGTTGTTAAAAATGTGTATACATTATGGCTTGTACCAATTTATAAATATTTGATTATCAAAAGAATGAATGTAAATAATGCATATTATTATATAAATATGAATTTTAAGTAAACATGACTAAAAACCTTTTGGTATTTACACTTGTGCGTGATAAGAAAAATACAGTATGGGTTACACTTTACCATCAGGCAAATTAAACACAGAAAGGTGAAAATTATTGGTTAGGGCAACCTCAGGGTAAAATTCTAGAATTTTATTTAAGGGGCACTTACCGAACTTGATTTAGTATCAAGTGATTTACATAGGATTTGCCTAAATAGTAAAAGGTGTAACTTACATGGGATACAACTGTTAGTTATCTTCAAATGTATGTGTAACTCCAGAAGTTTTGAAGGGAGATTATCTACAGGTTTGGTCTCACTGTAGATAGACTATGGTATGGTAAGTAACTCATGAGTCCTATCCACGTTGTATCTGTTTAACGTAGAACTCGACCTGGTTCCACCAGAGTGCTACCAAGAGGGTTGCTGAAGGGAGGCTACCAAAGCCAACTAAGAGCAATCTAGATCTAGTCTAGAATCTCTTTCTAGGAGCTGTCCAACTATAGCCTAAGACTGTCTAGCTACAGCCTAGCACTAGGACTAGGAGTAGGATTGTCCAACTATAGCCTGAGACTAGGAGTAGGATTGTCCAACTATAGCCTGAGACTAGGACCCTATAACGATGTTCGTATAAAAAAACAGATCGAGCCCCAAATATTAGAAATAATCTTACCTCAAACTGAGGGATACTCTAGACCAAAGGTGAAGTCTTAAACTTCCAAAAGCTGCTCGGAACAGTCCTATTAAAAAAATGGAACACGTGTTGTAGATTAATATTTCCTGAAGAAAATCTCAAACTTACCGAAACAGAATCCAAAAATGACCAAGGGACGACTCTAGACAATTATCAGCAAGAAATTAGTCTAAAACTTGAGCTCCCTGGCACAAAATTCCAAAAAGTCTCGCCCCAAAAATAATTAGGGCCGAGGCCCGAGACCGGACGACTACTCAGCGTGAGGTCGCAGATCAAAAGGGGCAGATTCTTCATTTAGATTTCGGAAGAAGACTTTCATCTGTCAAACTTCTAATTTTGACATTGAAGAAAATTATAGAAAAGGACGTGTTCAGTTTCACCCCAAAAGTACGAACTGAGAATCGGTTGTGTAAAAAATGACTGGTGAATGTTGAAAAGTGCCTATAGAACATATATCAAAAGGTAGAACAGGTCTAAAGAAAACGCCTAGACAAAACAGCTGTTCAATGACATGATGGAAATGAAAAGTCAAAGAGTAAACAACAATTATTATCATAACCTCAGATTATTGATTGGATTTGCAAACAGAGATGGTGATGGCACTAACTCCTTTTCCTAAGATTCTAATCAATAACAGCGGGCCCTGCCGTACTGAATCAAACCTTCCTAGATCAATTAACAAAACTTGCAAACCTGCACCAAAAAAACTTTCAGTAGAAGGCAGTACTCAAGGTAACAAAATCTGGGCACAGAAAAGATAGTTGTTTATTCATTTATTTCATTGTAGTTCTATATGGAATCATATCTACTAAAGCAAAACAAGGTAGCTTATTAGCCAAGAAATTGAAAACGTTACATTCTTCCTAGACGCAACTCAACTGGCAGCTGCAACCTGACAGTACCTACTAAGAGAAACTCAATTTGCCGTCAGGGAAAACAGGTATATTGAAATATTAGCGCTAGGTCGCGTTGCAGTTACATTGGCATGAAAAGCGGATTCAAGCATCAGGATTTGCCAATCAGGCACTTACAAATTATGAATTATGGAGTGTATATGCTCTGTCCGGTATTAGCGATCGTCTATCCCAACGGGCGTCAACTTTGAAAATGCCGATTAACTAAACTAATTTGAAAAGATAGAGACGACACGACTTACTAATTTCACGATAAGCTATCAGCCTGTGGCTTAGTCCTCTCTCATTTAGGGGCACTAAATCTTCCCTACTAAGGAAACTGAAATCCCAAATAGACAATAATTCCTTCTCGAAAACTCAATCAACCATCCAAGCGATTCTAAACAAAAAGAACATAACTAAAAATTAAATTGCTGTTAAATCTATGTTGTTTGGCAAACAATTCCATTTCCTGCTAAAGTCACACAAAGTGACAAATGGAAAACAAACGATAGTCGAGATATCTGAAAAATGCGGCCATTCCATGGGTCATATATTCTGGCGTCAGACATTTTTCATTATACGGTAGACTACACTTTCGAGCCAGGTATATGTATGTGTAATACGGAAAACAGAAAAAACTCTAAATATTAAGGCATCTACCTATCCCATACTTTATGCATTTTAAATGAACCACATCCGAAGGACTTGTAATGCAAAATGGCTACATAATAAATCGATATACGCTTTTGTTTTAAATAAGTTGGCAAAATTTATGTGAACTTTTCCCATTAAGGTTTGATTCAATTTATTCAAAGTTTCTTAAATAAGTTTATCCAAAACTTAGTTGAATATCATTATTATAAATAAATAATTCCCTGAAATAAGAACAGTAAGTACTTGTTCCAAGTTTGTTACGTTTAAATTTTTACTTTGACACAATTAATAATTTATTTGCTTACTGTTTTGCGGATAACTGAGACTTCAGTTCCAAATTTATATAAATTTTATCCAAGACAATAACAAGGGAATCGAGTCAGAACCAGCACGACTTCGAAACTTTGAATCTCCTAAATTGAGCTCAACTGTGAAAAACTATATCCACTATAACTAGCCAATTTACTGTCGAATTCAAAACTAATACGTCGCGGTCTGCTTCTAATGGGTGATCCATTTTGTGGTTGAAAAAGTACACGCGTGATATTTGATAGCGGTCAAGGACACATGTTAACAAAACAGGTACTTAGTTGTTTAGTTGAATGGTTGCCATTTTAGAATATGGATCGTTTTTCCACCGCAGACGGGACCCCAAGTCACACAACACGAGATAATCGGGTTTTGTTACGAGAAAAGATTCCAGGAGTAGTAATTTTGAGATTGGTTGATGTGAATTGGCCAGCACGGTCCTGTGATCTAACACCGTTGGACTTCTTCTTGTGAGGATACGTGAAAGATCGTGTTTATGCCAACAGCCTTCTAACGATTGACGCGTTGAAAGATAATATTCGTCAAGTTATGACCGGATATTGCCTGAAATGTGCCAAAAACTTGCCAAAATTACCTCAACGGGATTGAGTCCTGCAGGAGCTCCCGTGGAGGATATTTGAATGATAACCTTCATAGATTTAGTGAAAGCATTTGATTCGGTCAACAGGGAAGCTCTTTGGAAGACATTGACAAAGGTTGGGTGTCCGCAAAAGTACATCCAAATGCTCCGCCTGCTGCATGAATGCATATGCAACCGTCCTAAGCATCAACGATGGACAAGGAGAGTCTTTCATAATAACTACAGGCGTTAAACAGGGCTTTGTTTTTGCACCCACTTTATTTTTTCTATTTATAGGATCCATATTTCTCCTTGTCGAGTGTCACCTGCCGTCAGGAGTGGAAATCCTATACAGACTTGATGGCGGCTAATTCAACCTGAACATTAGATTACGAGTCAAGACGAAAGTATCGACGACATCGATAATTGAACTTTAATCTGCGGATGATAATGTCGTAACCTATCCTCACAGTCACAAACAAATTCGTAAATGTCAATAAAACAAAAAGAACAACAACCAGAACACTACATTGAAAATGAAAATTTAGGTGTAAATATTGTTCCAGAACGACAGGATGAAATATCATCGGAGCAAGGAGATGGTTACACAATGGTACAGCACACAAAAAGATATATGAAAAAGCGTCTTGGTACAGAAACAGCTACGCAAGAAGAACTTGCACAGGGTTTTGTAGGACCCGAACGCAAAGTATGGCTGAACATTTATCGTGTTAACAACCACGCTACAAAGGAGACTGTCGAAAACCATATTAAAAAACAACCCGGATTTGAAAACTTGAAAATCATGGTGTCGGAACTTTCAACCAAGTTTTGTTGTGACGGCACCTCTAGTCAAGAAAGACGAGATGAAGAACATCATTCTGGTCCCCTAACGTAGGAATGAGAAGATTCAAGTTCGATATCCACCAAAACCCAATGGAAATTATTTTTTATAATAGACACCCAAAGAAGCATAAACACAAGCAAAAACAACAAACCGGAAAAAAACGACCAAAGCAAAGTTTCATCAACATCAAAAACATTCAAGAAACCTAGAAAAATTGGATTAATACATCAGAATTTACAATCAATAGGTAATGATGGTAATGTGATTGATGAGATAGAATGTGAATAAGGGAAACACAAAGAATGCAAACTATTATGCTTCACAGAACACTGAAAATCTGAGGACCAGCTAAGTACAAAAGCAATTGAGAACTTCTCTCTACTAACGAGCTATTGCAGACCTGCAGGAGCTTATAGAGGAGCAGCTATATACATATATAGATCAATTAATGGTAAACACAGAAATAAATCATAGAAACTTTCAGTGTGCGGAGAATTTGAGTACCTATGCAGCAGGGGAAGTGTGCATTGAAGATAAAAATATAGTTGTTGTTGCAGTCTATAGACCACCAACTGGTAATTTACAAAAAAAATTCAGTAAACTAGAGGAAATCTTACATTAGGGTTCTGGTCCAAATATAACCGAACGATAGGTAACCAAAGTAACCGAATCAATTGACAAATGGTTACTGAAAATTCCGGTTACTTGGGAAACGCAAATATGAAATAAAAGATAATTGACAGAATATACAGATAAAACCAACAGAACCGACATCCGATAGCCGGTAACTATTTTGACATTTGGTTAACCAGATTTCAGGAAACCAAGGTCCAAAAGTAACCACTTTTCCAGGAAACAGAATAATTTGATTACTTTTGGACCGCGAAACCACAACCCTGGTTATATTCGGACCACAGCCTAAATATGCTCAGAAAATGAATATTTGTTGATGGCAGGTGATTTTAATATAGAAATGATTGAGCAAATTAGAAATAAGGACCTATTATTGAATATTGTACAATCGTTAAACTTAGAAGTAACAATAAACCAATATACTAGAATCACTGCCAACTCAAGAAGTGGTATCAATAATATCTTTACAAATGTAGAAAATTGGAATAGTTGTGTATTTAAAATGCATGTATCAGATCATTTTGCCCAAAAAATTATTTTTACATTGCTCTTAGTTGTGTATTTTCGAAGAAAATTTGGGGAGAGGGAAAAAACAGATTTTGTAAGTAAATTATGTGACCAAAACCCTATTAAAAATCAAAATCCCGAATATAATAATATGTATAAAGAAACAAAAAAAGAATATGATTCCTGTCTGAGAAGGCGAAAAGCAAACTAATTCGAGGATGAAATTAACAGATCAGACAACAAAAACAAAACTAGTATGTGGAATATATGCAATGAAATTACAGGCAAAGCCAAAAACAACCAAAATTATCCATTTAAAGAAAGTCCTCAAGAAGTAGCAGACAATTTCAATACTTACTTCAATACAATCATATCACAACTCCAAAAAAACTCAAATAATAATCCTATAGGTTACAGTTCAATGAACCATTCTGATAAATCTATTTTCTTAACCTCTACCACACCTACAGAAATTAAGGAACAAAAATAAATTCAGCAGTGGAGGTGGAGACGATGATATTCCTATAGCTATAGTGAAACTATCACTCGATTCCTTGAGTGTCATACTATCGTACATTATAAATATCTCTATGAAGTTTGGTGGAGAGCCGAACAAAGTAGAAAGTTACAGGCCCATAAGCTTATTACCAAGCTTTTCCAAAGTATTTGAAATCATAGTCTGTTCACGGATACTAGAATATTTCCATCGGAATAAATAATTTACAGACAATCATCATGGATATCTTCAGGGGCGATCAGCACAAACCGCAAGCTTCGAATTCACTCAGGGTATCTTGTCATTTCTTGAGGGAAACCAAATGGCTCTGGGCATATTTTTGTATCTAACCAAAGCATATGATTCCATATGTATAGAGCACATGAGAGAAAAACTTGAGATATATAGAATCAGGGGTAATGCAAATCAATGGATATATTCTTATATTTCAAACACAAAACATCGTGTAATTATTGAAGACGGAAATGATGCCAAAAAATCAAAAATTTTGACAAGTGATGTGGGAGTTGCCCAAGGCAGTGTACTGGGTCCAATACTATTTGTTATTTACTTGAATGACTTATGCAAAGATATGCAAAATAACCAGGGAAGTATGGTAAATTTTGCTTAAGACACCAACCTATTGACTGGGGCCACAACTGCACCAGAAATAGAATATAACCCAAATGCATTATTCTCCAAAACAAAATCCTGATTGAATGAAAATAAATTAATTCTCAGTTTTTCGAAAATAAATTTTCGAAAAATCGAAAAATACTTGGAAGTGTATCAAATTCAAGTTATTAGAGGATTTTTTGGAAAACACAAGTGTTTCGCCACGGTCAGATTAAAATCTGACCGTGTCAGAGCAATACAACTCATAGTATGAGTAATTAGCAGTGTATTGGAGCTTTGGCGAAACACTTGTGTTTTTTTCCAAAAAATCCTCTAATAACTTAAATTAATTCTCAATGAAAAAAAAAACTAAATTGGTAATATTTGATACAACACACACACACACAAAAAGAAAAAATTGGTTCATTAAACCTCTAATCAGATTGTTTTGAAATATCAAATTCCGCAAAGTTCTTAGGAGTATATATGGACAAATTTTTAAACTACTACGAACATACAGAAATACTATCAAAAAATTGAACAAGATATGTTTTGCTATCAGAACTGCGTCACGATATTTAAATAATCAGACTCTAAGGACATTATACTTTGCGAATTTTGAGTCAGTATTCAAATATGGAAGAATCTTTTGGGGAAATGACCAAAATCTAAAAAAAATATTTGTATGTCAGAAAAGAGTATTTACGTTAATTAATAAATAGATTTTAGGGAATCTTGTAGCGAGATATCAATATAAAAGTAAGTTACAATTTATCACAAACAATTGCAATATTACATATTTACATATAACACTCGGACACAAGATTTAGTGTTCATCGATAGGCTGACAGTAACAGAAAAAAATCCATCATACATGTGCATAAGAATATTCAAAAAACTACCAAATAGTTTTAAAACAGTAGATAGTCAAAAAGTTTCAAAAGGAAGGTGAAAAAATTGCTAAAAGACCTAGAACCATACAATCTGTTCGCGCATAGCTTAATTTCCAAACTAATTTTATTCGTATACTTGATTTTAAATTTAGGCGCAATACAATTTCAAGTTCTATATGGCACGAGGAGATTCGATGCGCTTCCCAGAAATCAGCGCACCAACTAGATTAAGAAATAGATCCGAACTTGTCAGTTGAGTTTTCAGAACCCTCAAAACCGATCCTTTGAAATTCAATTCAAAATCCGTTAGAAAATCAACCTCATAGTTTTAAAAGATATTTTAAACCTATTTTATGTGATTGTGTTCGTCGAAGAATTAGTAGCCCATCAGGTGCACATGCAGAAAAAGAAAACTTCGTTGGAAGAACACAAGTAAGTGCCTCCATTTTGTTCTTGTATGGCTCGGGTTCAAATATCATAGTTTTTATTTTTCCGCAAAAATGTAGATGAATCAACGCGTTTACAGTCAAAAACCTGCTTGTTTTCTTAACCAACCACTGCAAAGCCCTTGAATCGGTACAAATCATGCCATCGCAAATCTCGATTCCATCAACTATAAAGCAAAATAACTCAAAACCCATTTCAAATACCTTCAGTTCAAAAAATACTTCTTCTTTTCAAAACCAATACAAGTCGAACCCACCATCCAATTTTTTCGTAAATACCCCTCCACAGCAAAATAAACAGCAACAACAACCATCACAAAATTCAAATTCTAGCGATAATTTATAAATTCACAAACTAATCAACACAATTTTTCACAAAAAAAATGCAGACTTTGCAATAATTTATTCCATCCCTTGACCCAATGTCCAATATGTATTACTAAATGCCCCGCTGATAGATTTGCTTACGTAAAGCAGCAGAATGCATGCATTAACTGCCTGCGATTTAACCATGTTCTGAAAGATTGCGTAAGCTTTTTTACCTGCAAGTTATGCCGCTATAGATACCACACAATGGTCTGTAGACAATCTCCAAATCAACCTCAAAACTCAAACTAATTCTATAATAATTCCTCTCAAAATTCAATAAATCTAATTTAGCCGTTAGTAATAATACTGGTAATGCAAGCTCAACTTATTCAAATTCAGATTCAAATCAAAATCCAAACACTTCGACTCACACTCCAAACCAACAACTTATTCAAAATCCAAACTCACACCAAACTCAATCGCCACAAAATAGTCTTTGTACTTCTTTAGCCACATCCGCTCCCCGTACTACAGTTCTTTTAGCGACAGTAAAAGTGGAAGTCCGAGGAAATTATCAAATTATACGCGCTGTCCTGGACAGTGGAAGCCAAGCCAATTTAATTAGCGAAAATTGCTTAAACCGTTTGGGTTTACCCAGAACCAAATTATCAATCCCAATCTTGGGACTAAATCAATCTGCATCTTCTACCAATGGCATTGCAACCTGTACCATTCGACCACTAGGTCAACCACAACCTTCATTCACATTCCCATCCTTTGTTCTACCTGAACTTTGCGCAAATATGCCATCAGTAAAAATGGACCCCTCAAATTGGAGTCATATATCAAATCTCAAGTTTGCAGACAACCAATTCCAAGAGCCAAGTGCAGTGGACATGTTGATAGGTGCTCCTCTTTACACTCAAATTCTAAAATCTGGTAGAATTCAGGGCTATTATCAAGACCAACCCACGGCTTTTGAGACAGTTGTCGGTTGATTCCTTTTAGGAAAAACCCAAGACATTGTATATAATAATTCTTGTTTATCTGTCAGTTCTTATTTTATTTCTTTTGAACAATCACTCGATGCAAGTATGAGACGTTTTTGGGAATAAGAGTCGATTAATCCCAAAACCTTCTTGTCGCCTGAGGACCAGAAGTGCGAGGAAATCTATCAAGAAACGACAACAAGAGAACCGTCAGGTCGTTTTTTAGTCCATTTGCCATTCAAACATTCCAAACCTGA